AAGAGCAGATTATCTTGTCCAGGTAGGGTAGGCTCTTCTTAAAAGGAGGAATAAGATGTGTAAAAGCAGGGAGGCAAGGAAAGTATGAGCATATTTAGGGTTTCCTAAGAGGATGCTTTGAATCATTCCCTCCTTCAAAAAGCCCTTCATTCCAGCCAGACTGGACAGTTTACTTGGACCCAACTTAAGCTGCCTTTGGTCACCTCCCTATACTTGTTCATACTACCCCTTTATCAGAACACCCATCCCCTTCACCAGCATCCAAGTTCTCCCCATTCCTCGTAACCCAGGATGATCACAAAGGCCTCCATGGATCTTTCAGAAACATTTTTGTTCTTCTCTAAGTGGGAGAAAATCTCCCTTCATTGCTACCCCTTAGGAATTCTCATGGCACTGTGTTTATGTCACTCTAATGATATTTTTAATGACGATTCATGGTTACTCCTGGAAAGATCCTTGCAAGGGACCATTTTTCTATTAGGGATCATCTTGGTATTACCCTCAGTACCCAACAAAAGGCCTTGCACTTACCAGGTCTCCAATGAGTGTGATTCAGGACTGGCAGCATCAGCGCATCTGGGAATTTGTAAGGAATGCTGATTCTCCAGCTTCATCCCAGACCTACTCAACTAGAAACTCTGGCGTTGGGCCAAGAATCTGTGCTTTAAGGCTTCAGATGATGCTGAAGTCGCTAATGTTAGAGAACTGCTGAGTTCAATTAAATTAATTTGTAACTACTATTTCATTACAAGCATTTCTCTTAATTATATCAAAGAGCATGGCTTTAAACTCCATGTAGCGTTTGAAACCTCAGCTGGGTGGTGGCACATACCTGCCTCCAGCTCTCTGGAAGCTGAGACAGGAGGATTGCTGAGAGTTCAAGACCAGCCTGGGCTACTTTAGTGAGTTCAAGGCCAGCCTGAACTGCATAGTGAAACCTTGAAGAACACTGAAAGGAAGGAAGGAAAGAAGAAACGAAGGAAGGAAGGAAGGAAGGAAGGAAGGAAGGAAGGAAGGAAGGAAGGAAGGAAGGAAGGAAGGAAGAAAGGAAGGAAAGAATAAAAAAAGGAGGGGGGAGAAATGGGAGAGAGAGAGAGCGCATTTTCAGGTTCCTCTTTTTTTCTCAACATATCATCTACAGGTTCAAGTGGTTTACCCCAGAAAATTTAGGACAAGTGGGGAAATGTTCAATTTTGCTCACATTCTATACACAGCTCTTAAAAGATGAGATTTCAATCCATGTGGAGACATCCTTACTTGGAATTCATTTCAAACCATTCCAGGCATACTTGCCACTTGGCAAATTTCTGTGTTTGCTGCAGCCTCCTATGGTGTGGAACACTGCTCTAAAGTTTTGCCACGAATTTTTGAGCTTCCATGTCTCCTTGGCCCTAGGTGATGATCAGACAAGCTCTGGGCTGGGCAAAGGCATCACTGACACACAACAAAACTGCCCCAAACTAGCAATCACTCTTCATAGGTGCCTGCCTTTTGCTTCATATCTGAACAATTTCCTACCAATCCTAACACTCTGGTCCACTTGTAAATGAGCCGTGTGTGTGTGTGTGTGTGTGTGTGTGTGTTTTGTGTGTGTGTGTGTGTGTGTTCATACAGAGACAGACAGACAGACAGACAGACAGACGAGTTTCAATGCCACAAAACACAGAACTATTTTTTTTAAAGACAGTGCTATTGAAGGGCGTTTTGATTCACTGTAATGAATAAACAGATGCAAAATGCAGTCCTTATAAAAATATCATAGTCACTGTACATAATACCTTTGTGTTTTTCATAAATGTTAAAGAGAGAGAATGAGACTATACATAAAACTAAAGCCTGCACACTATACTTTTCTTTGTAAATACAACATTAGGATAGATCTTTTCTCATGTAGTAGACATCATGCATCTCGTAATTGTATTTTATTATATATGAAGGCCAGGTAAGTCCCACCTCTAGAGTGTTTTGTTTATGGGAAAAGGAAAGGAGGTAAAGGAATTTAGAAAATAGATCTTCCAAGTCTTAAAAATAGAAATAGAAATATTCTCCCTCCCTACAGACACATTCCTAGCTCTGATGACTGTTACAGGGAAGCACTGAATTGCAAGCAGACTTGAGCTGCAGTAAATATAGTCACTATTTAAAAGGAGGCCAAGAGGTCAAATGTTTTACCCTTCAGAAAATGATATATACTTGCCATATCCAAGTACATTAAGTTTATTGGTCATTGGGTGATTAAAATAAGTCATAGACATGATGAAGAAGTGAGGTTGGATTCAATGTTTGTTCCAAATATTATCATGATTCATCTCTGAGAGATTCTCCTGAGAAAAAAGCCTCATGTATAGTATCTGACATTTTTTTCAGTGTCTTAATTCTTTGGGGACAAGGTAACTATAAAAGAAAGATGTCCTAATTTTAGCTCTCAAAATGTTAATGCCCAGATTATTTTCCACTGTGGAAAAGATAGGAATAGTCCTTCTTTTCTCCATGGTAACAGAATTTGAGTTTTGAGGGAGAATTTTAATCTGTGGAGACTGGAAATTGGCCTGTGTTTGGGCAATTTGAAATGCACAGTGAGGGCACCCATTTTCTCCTATTAGGTAAGTAACACAGTGCATCTTTCCAGGGACCACTGTCAAGTTCAGTGGATGATACTTATTTACAAATAAATGTGATGGTAGGGATATAGCTCAGCAGTACAAGTGCCTGCCTGGCAAATGCAAGGTCCTGAGTTTGATTCACAGGAGAGAGAGAGAGAGAGAGAGAGAGAGAGAGAGAGAGAGAGAGAGAGAGAGAGAAATTTTCAAACAAATGTGGCATGTGAAAGACTTTAAGGACAGAGAGGAAATTGCCAGGCATTTGCATAACAATATTTACATTGCAATGGCAAGCAGAAACATTGAAATGACACCCAGGAGTTGGAGGCAGATTTATTTAATGGTGTATGGGCACTGACTGGGAATCAGTTGTTCCTCAAAATGTCAGGCCCCAAAGGCTCAGGAAAGGAGGTTTCCATGAGGTGGCAAGCAAGAAGCAGATATATAGTTACATTCTCTTAATGAATAGAGCGATTTGTTCTAATGGTGTTTGTAAATAGGATATCAAGTCCGCATCTTGTACAGCACTTAACCACTAGGAAGAATGTATGCAATGTGTTAATGATTGAAACTGTCCTACCAATTTGGTTTGAAACTGTCTCATTGCTATTTGTTTCTCAATAAAATTATAGCGGAAAAAAAACAAGAAGCACAGTGCTTGGCTTTCTCTGATTGGTTCTTACAATATGCATCATAGTGACCAGCCAACTCAAGGAGCCAGTAGTAACAGTAATTGTAACAGGAACTCTTACATGAGTAACTAACAAGCTAGCTGGGGGCATTTTCTGTTATAATGTAAGAAGACCAGAAAGTCAGGACATATTTTTGTTCTTACAGTATCTTAAATAGCTAGGTTCAATAATGAAGAAAAAAATACTCTCTGTAGAAGAAATTTGTTCTGCTCCTACAGTCATCCACCTCTTCACTTAATCACTAATTCCATGCCCTTTGCTAAGGTCCTGTTTCATTTAAGATTATTTTGGAAAAAGAGAGCATCTCTCACCTCAGCCTTGGAAGGGTACCTAACAGTCATCCGTACCAATCAGCCATTCTGCCTCAGTGAGGTCATGTACTAGCACTGCCCCCAGATGGCAACTTGTGGGCTCTTTCCTTGTACAATAGTTCTTCTCCAGCTCTGAGATCCACACTGGCCAGGTCTACCCCAACAAGATCTTCTACCCTGCCTTTCTTTTATACCACAATATATATTTTTAAACCCAACCCAGTGAACTAGATGTGGTTTACTTGTTTATCTCTTCCTTTACTTGTTATACTAAAAATCCCAAACCATGAACTGGAGAGATAGCTCAGCTAGAAATAAGTGCTTGTCTGGCAAGTGCAAGGTCTCCAGTGTGATCCCCACTACCACAAATAAAATAAAATAAAAACTTTATGAATTCAACAGTTATCATCTGTCTCAGAATGCCTTTATGTACAAAAATCTATAGAAAATGTTAGAGAAAGATTGAACATTCCTTCTGGAGCCAATGGAGCCAAAGTTATGGTTCTATGTAAAGTGAAATAGTTAACAGTAACCATTTACTATATTAGCTGGATGCTTCCTCCTAGTTAATAATATAAACTGAATATTTCTTCTATATCAGGCACTAAGTAATCCATCCAGCTAAATATTTTTCATAGATTATGTCATGTCATCTTCACCCAAGGTGAGCGGCTTCAATTGTAAAATCTGCAGACTAAGAAAACTGAAGCTATTGAGCTTGTGTTCCATGTTCAAAGTTGCAGAACAGCAGAGGCGAGCTGAGAAATCAAGCCAACTTTACTCCAAAGTATGAAATCTTTCTCATAAAATACCTCCTTCCCCTGACTGACAAACTGCCTGTAAGCAGATTCATTTTAATTCTAAGCAGTACTTCTAAACCTTGAGCTATTTTACCCTTTCTCCAGGGTTTTTGGCCATAGCTGGGAACACGTCTGGTTGTCCCAGCTGATCGAGGCATACTCCTGGCATCCTAACGAGTAGGAGACTGCTAAACAAGCAGCGATGTGTAGGACAGCCTCCCACTGTAAAGAATTATCCACTAAAAAGATCCAGAGTAACTCAGCATGGTGGCTACACCTGTAATCCTAGTCCTCTGGAGGGTGAGGCGGAAGGGTCACAAGTTCGAGTCAAGCCTGCGAAATTTAGCAAGCTCCTGCCACACACACTAAAAAAGGAAATTAAAGACAAACAGTACTAATAATGATAATGATAATAAGACTAGATATGTGGTGCAGTGTGAAAGTACGGTTTTCACTCTCTGGCATTGAAAAAATGTCAACGGTACTGAGGCTGTGAAGGATCAGTCCAAGGGGTGGTGGATGTTTAAAGCCACTTTTTTCAAAAAGCGGCTTTTATTATCTGTTCCTCACTTCCCTGTGTATTCTGTCCCATCACAGATGACAGCAGCCTTCTGAATCTAACTCCCTACCCCCTGGTTAGAAGACGGAAGAGAAGATTCTTTGGGCTCTGTTGTCTCGTCTCAAGCTAGGCGATTCTCCGGGAAACTCACCACTGGGAACACCTGAAAAAAAAAAAAAAATCACAAAACCTGAGGACCTCCAGACAGCTGAACCACACAGTGATTGGTTTTTCTATGTTTCCTTATTATTTTTACCCACCACTCCCTGCCCTTTTCAATGATTTTACACTTGAAAACACCTGCCATCAAGAAGAAGAAAAAAAAAAAAAAAAAAACAAGATTTAAAAAGCAGGCTGTTTTTTAAAGGATTTTTAAAGTTGATATTGTGCATGTTTGCCCCAAACCATGCCATGACAGATGCAAGACTTATGATTTTTAAATTATTTAAAGATTTTTAAGTGTATCATAGAGAACAATTATTTCACATATAGTAGTATACCTGTAGCTCGTGGTGATCTTACGCTAACAGCTTATAACGTATGAAAGAAGTCTTTAAACATAGAAATTTACTTAAAACTATAAAATGGTGTTGAAAAAGCGCCAATCTATTAATATTATTAGAAATATTATAACTAAACATATACCACCTCACCTATTGCATTCTCTGCACTCATTCACCTTTAGTCTTCCATTCTGTCAGAATCTAAACCTTCACCATAAAACTATATTAATTTATGATGCAACAAAAATCATGCACAAGAAAAAAATTTGTAAATACACAATAATCCTAATATCTTCCTATGCTTATGAGCAACTAATTTCCCTTTGATCCAATGGTGTCTCTTTCAGCTTCTTGGAGAATGAAGTTATCCAGTTAGAAAACGGGGTAGTAGCACATACAATTACCCTCAAATGTAAAATTGAATATTATCACATTTTGTTCTAATTGAAATCCAAAGCATGGTGTCTGCTCATCAGCATAGTGTTAACTTATAGGGCATGCTGGAATTAGCTCAGATCGTAAAAATATTAACATCTTACATTATTAATATTTTTTTTTTTAGTGAAGCTAAGCTTGTCTCAGTTTAGATGACTATGCAGATATGACTTTTCCAACGTGTACTTGGTGTCTTGTCTTATGCTTAGAACACGGAAAGCAGGACACATTAAGCAATACTACACTTTAGAAAGGAGGAAGGCACAGCCTTTGTTTTTCTGCTCACGGCTTTGTTGCAGTCTTCCTCCTCTAAACTTGTGACGTGGCTCACATTTTCTTATGCTCCCTCCTTTTACCCGTGGACTCACTTCCCAGACAGAATCCCCATGACGGGAAAGATCAAGTCTTTCCATTTCCTTTCTTGCTTCTATAGTTTGAAAAATCAGGTTGGACAGGAGGCACTGGAGTCCCACACAATAGAAGTAGGAGCTAGAAGCCTACGAGTGGTTTGTATAAGATTCATTTCCCCATCCCAACCCTGCACAGGCATTTATACATACACTAACATCTTGACCTAAAAAATTAAGCATATTAATGCTTGTAGCTTAAATGAAGATGGAGAAAATAAACAATTATCATATTAGGTTGAATTATATGAAATTGCTGATATTTGACTGTTTTGTTCTATAAAAATGGCAGTTTCAGATAATTCCCCCTAGTATCAGAGGTGAAAGTTAAAGAATTAAAAGATTAAAAGACATCTCAAAAAGGTATGCAGGTCCCTCCTTTGATGACACTGGCTGTTACTTGGCCTTGTTCTTGACAACAAGCTGGTATTTAACGCGTGGCTCCAAGTATGCCTGGCTTCACAAAAGGAAGTACCCTTGACAAGCTACATGAGAAAAATCACAATTTTCTAAATCAAAAACTGGTGAAACAATGGTGATAGTATGCTATTACAAGTAACCATTCCCAGATTCACCTAGTCTTCTGACCTTAATCTTCCTAAATCAAGCTTAATTAAGCTTAATATTCTATTCTGAATCAGGCTCATTTTTATCCCTCGATGCTATTTCACCTGAGGGTCATTGTTTTGCAGATTGTTAAGTGCCCCAAATTGACATGCTCTCATTTCTGTCTCTGTCCTCTCTTACCCTTTGACTATGTACACCCTTCCCCTCAGTCTTCTTCCTACTACTCCACACACACAGCTATTAATTGATAAGCCCAACCTTCATATTCAGCACGTTCTTCCCAATGCCTGACCTAAATCATTTCTGCTTGGTTAATTTGAGCTCACTCTCGCCTTAGTCTCAGTGTGAAAGTAACACTTACCTTATGTGCAATTGTCCTTTGTGCGACTGAAGACTGTTAATAAATTCAGATCTCACCTCCATGTCTGGGAAGGCTGTAGTAGCTATTCATGGAGATGGGAATTTGTCTAATTACCTAGCCAGACTTTCCATATCAAAGATAATATATTCAGCCACCTTATCTTTTATTCATAGTGCCTGTTTTCCAGCCTTCGATCAATTTTATAGTTCCCGTAGACATACTCCAAGATTTATAGATGTCCTTTCAGTAGCAGATCCTAAAATTACATTTAGTACTCAGAGTTCTGTAATCTACATCAGTGCATGGTTGCAATAGGCGATTCACCACCCCACGAGATATGCCAGCGCGTCCTTTAGGAGCTGCCCCTCTCTCCCCTCAACTTCCAAGGACACTCTCAGGTATAGTTCCAATATAACATTCTGCTGTCTTAGCCTCCTGCTAGTAATTTACTTTGAGATTAGCCATTAACACTGAGCTGATCTCCAAGGGTAAGAAGAGAACGGTGAATCTGTTTTCTCAAATTACCCACATACTTGAAACAGAAAATTATGTAAACCTGGCACACACCCACTCATTTTACCCCCAGTTTTTCATAACCAATGTTGATTGCTATTTTTCCAGATTACAAAGGCAATACATGGTCTTTATGGTAAATCTGAAAAAAATGCTACCACGTAGCAAACATTAAACTCACCTGAACCTCACCACAATCACATGATTTAAAAGTACCTTTTGGGGCTTTAAATTAGTAAGGGCGTAGGTCCAAAGGCACTTTTAGGTAAGGCAGATAAAAAGCTCACAATGCCAATCTGTCTTTTTAAATATCAATCCAATAATGTTTTGTTTGCATCTAGGTGTGAACTCACTACAGTCCCTGGGTCGTACTTTTAGTCAGGAGTACAAAGAAAGTTTTAAAAGTAGCACAGTCCCAATGCCTCCTGGAATTAATTAAAGCTCCTGGGGGAAATTCAAAAATCCTGTTGACCTTTATATTCTTCCATGAGCCTCTGAAAAAAGTTTGGCAACACTGCCACCTACTGAAAGTAAAGCTTCTGAATAAGAGAAGAAACATACACAGGAGTAGAAAACCTCATAATTTATTTCAGAAAGCAAGCGGTTGGACTGGATTAACAAGGAAAGTTGTTAAAGTCTGAAAGTCTAAAAGTTCAGACTCTAAAAGTCTCAACATGGACAGGATTAGGGATATCATCCAGACTAACTTCATGCCCCTCCCATTTAGGCCTGAGCAGTGTCTGTTGTCTCTTTGTATTCTAGAATGTCACTCAACAGAAAATGTTTGATGGTCTGGTAACACTAGACAGAATGAGAAAAAGCAATTGCACTATTAGCCTCAGAATAAATCTCTAGAATTAAATATGCAGTACATGATTTATCCAAGAACAGAAAAGAATTAGGTGTTTACAAGATGACAATTCAAGTCTGAGAAAAGGTTAATTATTAAATTAGACTATCATGGAAGAAATATTAGATCTCTAACTCATAACTCTCACCGAAATGAATTTTAGATGAAATAAAGGTTAAATGTTAAAGCACATAAATATGCAAAAGAACTAGTAGGCAATATGAATCAATACATAGTGTGTAGGGGGGCTTTCAATCATAGTACTACAGCAGAGAACTAGAAAGGAAAGATGGATAGATTGGGCCAATCAGAAATGCAACGTGCTGGCCCCGCCCCCAGGGCACGCTGAGCCGGCAATTGAGACTGGGCGTGGTAGCACACGCCTATAATCCCAGTTCTTGGGAGGCTGGAAACAGGCAGATCACTGCAAGTCCGACCTAGTAGTGAGGCCCTGAACACCCTGTAGTCCCTTCCCTAAAATAAAAAAAAAAAGCAAAACTCCTACAGAATAAAAAATAAACCAAATTAAGAAAAAGTAACATATGTGGTAGATAGATCAAAGAGTCTAGATCTCTTAATGTAAATCAAAAACTTAAAAATCACTACTTTGAGGAAGTTTTCATGATAAACAGTCTCCGTGCTTCTTTCATTATTTCTTATTTGTTCATCCCGCTAAACAGGAACTACAGACAGCAGCAAGCATTATTTATTTTACTTATTGTTGTTTCTCCAAATCCTAATACAGAGCTAGACACAAAGCAACTATTGAGAACATATTCATGGAATGAATGAAAAATGAATGAGTAACATTAGTTATATTTTATGACTAAAAAAACCCCCAAACTTTCTAGTAGAAAATGAAATTATGGGCATTGTGCACCACAACCTGACATAACTCACTTATAATAACTATGAAAGCATCTGAATGTATAAGTACCAAAAATGCAGATTAACATAATAAACTCTTCTTTAAAACTCAATAACACCATGCAAAGCTCCCAGAGACAACAAGAAAGAATGGAAATGAATGTTCTCTTACACTCAGCAGGAGTGTAAGTTGATTCAATCTCTGTGGAAAAACATTTTGGCACTGTAGTTTTCCTGCATGCATAAGTCCACCTTAAGGAAATTCTCATTTTAGAAGTTCCAGGAAAAATTGAGCTAAGATGCCTCTATTCATTATTCAAAAAACTATATAAGAAGGGATGTTTTTAGCAGCGTTGAGAAGTAGAAAAATTAAATAAGCCTACATTATACACTTAGTTAAATATGATGCATCCTTTCTTGGAATACTGAGGACCAATTGAGAATAAACGTCATGTGAAAGAAATGTACAAATTATTGTGAAATGAAAAAGGAAGTTAGAGAATAATATTAGTATGTGATCCTTTTTAAAAAGCATGAAAATATGTGTGTACATTAAGGGACCTGAAAGGATACTTGCCAAAGGTATAACAGCATTTATCTCTGGGAGGTGAGATTTGGAGCAATTACTTTTTCTTTTTGCATATCTGTAATTTCTAGTTTTCTCCACAATGAGCATGTACTATCTGTATAATTTTTTCAGGGAATAAACAACGATGTTCACAATATACATTAAATGAAGAAATATGTTATAAAATAGTATATATATAGTATGATACAATATTTGTAAAAAAGAAAATTATATATAAATATACCTATATATGTATGTATATATATGCATAAGAAAGAAAGCTAGAAGGACATACACTACCATGTTAATAGCAGTTATCTATGGGTAGTGGGATTATGGGTGATTATTTTTTCTGTTTTCTGTTCTGTGTTTTCTAATTTTTCTACAATGAACATGTATTACTTGTGTAATAAAAACTAATAATAAAAGTTTTAAAAAATATGTCAGAATCAGAGATGTTTTGCTGAAGTCGTATCCCTCCCTGCGCCCCGCCCCACCTCGCCGTGGCTTGGCTTGCTGCTTGTGCAAACGCACAGTCAGAAGAGATGAAGAGGAAATGCGATGGCAGTCTTTGGAGATAGACCAAGAGACGGGTGTGGGGAAGAGGTAGGGAGCAAATGCAGATGGCGAGGGAAGGAGCAAAGAAAGAAGGACGGAGAAAATTCAAAAGAAAGAAAGAAATCTGGTAAGCGAAGTCTGCTCTAGGAAGGATTAAAATGGGCTTTGGAAGCTTTCACTAGCAATAGTAATGTTTCTGAAAACCGCAGCAAGAAAAAGACATGTATCAAATTAAATAAATAAATTTTCTAGTACAAGGTTGTACACATCACAAACGTGAGTGCGCACGCGCACACACACACACACACACACACACACACCCTTGGAGAGACATCTGAGCACTAAACTGTGACAGGACCATATCCCAAGAAGCTTTTCAAAAAGCAAACCATCCAGTGCAGCCAAGCTGTGCTCTACGGCCTGGAGTCACCCAAATCCCTGTCAGGATCTCAGATGCGCTGACCATGGTCCGCTGCTTATTTTCTCCTTTTCTTCTTTAGTTATGCAAACCCCAATTTTCAGGGAAGCACTGACTACCTCAACACTCCTTTTCCCAGGGGCCCTTCATTGTAGGTGTGAATTTGACCAACAGTGTGAACAGAAGGGCGCCATTGCCTAGGAATAGCCTTTCAATGAGAAGCATGGGCTTCACGCCCTCTTTTTCAACCCTCCAGGCTGCAGTGAGAACAACGCTGTGGTGCTGAAGAAATAATTTCCCAGAAACGGAACTGCACAAGGACAGTTTAGCTTTAGGAGGATTTGACCCCACTGTGTTCTGTGAAAATCAATCAACCAGTCAGTCAAATACCTTCCACCTCCTTTAGGGACTTAATAAAATGAATGTGGGTGCAAAAGAGGAGTTCCTTGAGCTAATTAACTTCTCTAAGCTTCCGTTGCCCCAGAATAAAAGCACAGTAGTTGCTATTATGGGCTACTGGACTCTTTTAGAATATTTTGCTAAGTTTACACAGCTATAATATTCAGTAACGGAACTTAGGAAAAATGGGGTACACCGATGAATGTCCATTCTGTATCTGTGTATTCAAAGTGGTTGGGGTAGATATATAGTTGCATTGTCTTAATGACTGGAATAATTTGTTCTAATGGTGTTTGTAAATAGGATCACAAGTCCGCATCTTGTACAGCAATTAACCACTAAGAAGAATATATGCAGTGTGTTATTTGTTGAAACTGTACTTCCGATTTGATTTGAAACTGTCTCATTGCTATATGTTTATCAATAAAACTGTAGGAAAAAAAAATAAAATAAAATCCAAAAAAAAAAAGTTCTTGTAATATTGGGCAATGAATGCCAAGACCTGAGTTTTTCTTAGTTGGTACTATTTTTATTACTTCTTTAATAAAAAATAGGTCTTTAATAAAAAAAAAAAAAGCACAGTAGTATCAACATCACAGGAGGCTCAGGAAATCATTAATTACTTAAAATAAAAGATCTTTTATTAGAAAAAAATCAAACAAATGAAATATCACACTACACTGTTGGAGAAAGCAGAGGAAAAGAAAATTTTAAAATCGATTTTCAAATCAAAGGGTCATTTGACTTCTATATGAAAACAAGAATTAAGCCCGACCCTTGCTAGATACCATATACAAAAATCAATTCCAAGTTGACTATTGATATAAAGGTATAAAAGGAATCAACAAGCTTCCAGAATATAATAAAAGAATATTTTCATATGTACACAGTTGTGAAATAACTCCTTCTAGGTCACAAACCACTTTTTTTAAAAACTGTTTAATATTATCTACTATCATAGAACACTTACATATCCTGTGACCCAGTAATTTCATTCTAAGGTAGATGTTCAATAGACACATGTACACATATTCAGATAGATAAAAAGAAGTACATGGTGGTATTATTTGTAATAATAACTGTATGTAATTCAAAGGTCTATCAATTGAAGAATGGACAAGTATATTGTGATATATTCATACAATTGGGTGCTATGTAGAGGTAAGGTAACTAATTACAGCTATACACAATCATATGAGAAGATATAATCATTATCATGTTGAGTGGACAAATGCTAAGTATAAATGAATCTGCACCGCTAATAGCAAACAATACCCATAGCTGCTGAAAGACAGAAGCCATGGTCCCATGAAACAAATCAAACAGGCCCCAGAGCATCTACAGAAGCTCTTTCCTTGTATTTTCCAGACCCACTAAGTTCACTTTATCCAGATACAGCCTCATCTAAATTCATAATTCTTGAGGACACCTACAGAAAAGAACAAACCACAGCCCCAAATTATGTTTTGTTTCAAGGCTCTGTAGCTGATATTCACAGTCTCCCTTCTTTACCAACCCATTCTAAATTTCCTTCCTGCTAGTCCACCACTTCCAAGTTTACAGGTAGGACAGCTAGGCCCTCACCATGGGGTGAGCTGATGTCTGGATTGCCATGCTCTTAAAATCATAGTTGCTATAACTTCACACTTACTGTTAAACCTAGGCATGAGCATATCAAGAGATGACCCATGCCAAACATACACCTTCATGACTTCAATACATTTCAGTAGCCCGCTATGATAATCAGGACCAATTACCTCTGTTAGGATAGGGATTCTTTATTTGCCTATGTGTTTACTGGCATGAGGAATCTAAAGAAACCAGAAGTGGCCGAGGATTAAACTTCACAGGGAGTCTCATTTTTCTCCTCTGTAAAACCCAAGGTCTACAGACTCTAGAGTTTATAAATACAAAGTAGATTTCTCAGGGATCAAAGACCTCTTCTATT